ACTTTTGACAAACACTTGGCCAAGTTCTAATGGCCCATCTTTCTCCATTTCAGATTGGGTTTTGTTTTTGGGTTTGGGTTTTTTGCCTTCATTCTCAGAAAAGTAAAACGTGGGGCAAAAAGCAAGCAGGCAAACAAAGCCAGAAAGCTTATGAATAAATGGGAAACAAAAATCAGGGAGAAGTGGATATATCAGAATACTGCATGACTTGGAACAGAAGAGCAAGACCAGCCTTGAATAACCCTGAAATATAAAGAAGTGTGAGTAAATTATTGGAGACCCAGTGTGGCCTAAAGTGTTGGATGTAGCCCAAGGAGGCAACAGCTATGTTTGCACAATGCATTTGGCCAAGCTTTGGGGGGTTATTGAATAAGCCATGTGGGCTAGACATATGAACACAATGTCATAAATCATGGTTTTTAAACCACATTGGTGGGTTTACATAGCATGCTAAGCAAAACTAAAAAAATTACATTATAATTTAATATGCATTGTTTAGCATGTTAGGCTGAAAATGAAGAATCAAGGCTAGGTTCACACAACATGCAACATTTTCATGTGATTTTTCTGTTTTGGCTTAACCCATTATATTGACTCAGCCCTAGATTTTTCTTTTCCGGTCTACCTACTTCATAGTGTTATTGGAGTTTTAGAATTGAGGTATTCCAAAGCCAGAAGTGATTACTCGGAAGCCAACTCTAGAAAGACAAAACTGTGATACTGGCTTTGCTTTGTTTTGCTTTAATTCAAAGTAGCAGCAGCAGCAGTGCCAACCTGCTGAGAAGAAGGGGGGAATTAACTCTTTTTCTGACATCATTTTCTTAATTTAAGCCATCCTTTTTATCTTTGTAGCTGTTCAAGTGGGCCATATGCAGGAACAATGCTGACTTTAACAGCAAGAAAGGTGACTTAGCTGAAGGCATGTTGAAAGAGAACGACTATTCTCTGTGGGTGTCAGTAGAGCCGTCCTCTTTAACTGAAGTGAACAGATTGATTAGAATTGTTGTATAACTGCTGAGAGGAAGATCAGAAGTCACTTCTATATAATATATATAGAATTGATATATGTGTGTGTATGTATGTATGTATGTATGTAGGCAGGCAGGCAGGCAGGCAGGCAGGCAGGCAGGCAGGAAGGAAGGAAGGAAGGAAGG